CCTGCCTGCCTGCTTGCGTGTTGTCATGCGTGTGCCACTGTTTGGTGGTGTGCTTGTTTCCTGCCTGCCTGCTTGCGTGTTGTCATGCGTGTGCCACTGTTTGGTGGTGTGCTTGTTTTTTTTGCTGGCTTCTTTGTTTGTTTGCTCAGTCAGCCAGTCAGTCAGTCAGTCAGTCAGTCAGTCAGTCCGTCGGTCAGTCGGTCAGTCGGGCAGTCGATCAGTCTGTCGGTCGGTCGGTCCGTCCGTCCGTCAGCAGTTAGTCAGACAGACAGACGGATAGATACGTGGGTCGGTAGAGATATAGACATAGACACAAGAAAAGATAAACGGGTAGATAGATAGATAGATAGATAGATAGATAGATAGCTACATAGGCAGACACACAGATAGATGGATAGATAGATAGACAGACAGATAGATAGGTAGATAGGTACATAGATCGATAGATGCATAGATAGATGGGCAGGTATATGGGTAGGTGATGGATACTAGGTAGATGGGTGGGTGGGTGGGTGGGTGCGTAGGCAGGCAGGTAGGCGGGCAGTAGGTAGGTAGGTAGGTCACGAGACAGACAGAGACCGATGGACGGACGGATAGAAGGATAGACAGACAAGACAAGCGCCATTCACTGTGCACTTCATGTTCAGTACTGCATCGCTGCAGTTCCACTTGGGAATCCCATTCTTCACATGCAGTAGGTCACCCCGCAGAGCGCCGGAACTGTCCGCGTCATACCTCGGCAGATCAGAATGAGAAGGCGGTTTGGGCCCAGATCATCTCAGCTTGCTCTCATGTTCTCAACTTGCCGAGCCCAGCTCTTGTCGAAGACCGATCTCCAGAATTTCACCTCGTAAGCGGATAAAAATCGCTTAAACTGGAAGAGAGCCTAAGGACAGAATCCTGCACCAGCCTCCTGGTCCCTGTCCCTCTTCAGGAGGACGCCGGGCCTTGCAGATGGGCCCAGTCTCTTTACGATGCGCCTCGAAACTGTAGGGCTGCGGCTCTTTGCCCTCTGCCAGCAGCTGCTGGCGTATCTTCGCACTCCTCCCATCTAGGACCACACAACCCATCTGTGGAGCATCAAACAATGTGGCAACCTTGGACCCTTCGCGGAGCTCTCAGAATCTTGCCTCACCACTGTGCGCACTCGGCCCACCACATCGTTCTCGTCGTAGTAGTGCCCAGTCTCAATATGTGCTTACAATAATCGGGCATGGCAGGCATGGCTGCACGATGCTCATGGCAGTCTTGGACGGACTGCGAACACAAAGCTTGGGTAGCAGCATTCCACGGAGGCTTCTTGCGTGGTTTCCGCACCTGGCGACCATGGCGACCACGACTTCTTCAGTCTTTACTGGGGTTTAATGACGGCTTAGCCACCGATGGCTCTTGCTCCTGGCCTGCTGATCGAAGTCACCGGCAATCGCAGCCATGATCCTCGAAGTTAGCGGGGCCGATGTTCAGATGTGGAAATCTGTTCGGAACGCAGAAAAGCTCAGGAAGTCTGCTCGGCCACTGTAAACGATCTGCAGTTCCTACTGTCGAGAAACAGGATGGTCCTCGTGTACCATGTCCGAGCCCGCCCAGCGCTCTCTTTCGGAATGCTGCTATGCTGCTAAGCTGCGCCCAACTGACACGACTGCATTTCTGGATAGAGTGGAATGGGGCAGGTCCTGTTGCTGTGCGGTCGAGTGGAGGATCTGCTCGTGTCGTTGAGTCCCCGGCTAAGCCCTCTCTAATTCTGTGAAGCCAGACAGCAAGCGACGATTGGCGACTGGGAAGCTGAGTGTCAAAGCTAACTCATGATGCATCAGTACATACTGATGATGCACATGCAAGGCCGTGGCCCTCCTTCAGCAACTTCGGACTTTGGAGACTCATCACAATCGCCATCAACGTGAGGACAAGCACCATCGCCAGTACCAGCACCATCACCAGCAACAGACCACTTTGGCGTGCTGCCGCCGAACAATGCTGTTGAAATGCATACGGCTTGAACAACTGGTAAGCTGAACAGAACACCGAGGCCTCTCCGCTACAAGTAGCCATGCCTTAACAAATGGGGGTTTCCGAAAATAGGGGACCCTAATATAGTTCCCCAAATAGTAGTATCCCTATTATAAGGACCCCAAAATAAGGTACCCCTTACTTTCGGAAACTCCCAAATAAATCAGCGCAGGCACCTTTCCAGCACCTCGGCTGCCTGCCTCGAGCGCCTTGGAATTTAGTACCACACAAGGCAAGCCCTCTGGCATTTCAGGGCTGGGGTCACACGATGCTAGCCTACGACAACCCCTGAAGAGCAGCGTTTGGCTGGGTTTGGTTGAGTGCTCAAGGCCCGAGAGCACTCCACGCCACATTGCGACACATACCACTCCACCCCCGAACAAATGTCATTTGGCATGCAGACTACAGAGCACAAACCCACTCAAGAAGTTGTGGTCCTGCGTGGCCGCAGAACTTAGCTTTCGGGATGATACATGGTAACGGCCTTCACCTTTGCCTAGCATGGCACCAAGAAGACAAAAGATGCAAGGCAGGAGCATGTTGAGACAGGCTTTGCCAGCATGTACAGGCATGGCAGCCAACAAACTGTGACAATTACTAGCTGCGTGCACCGTTCCGAGAAACCGTCGGCAGCCTGAGTGCACAGTCCCTTTGCAGTTTTCGACGGACAGCTTCTCATGTCATCTGGGGCTCCCGGCACGAGCAGCGGCCACGACCCCGACACCGTCATCGAGCACGTGGCACTGACAAAGTCACTTGTTGTTGGTTGCCCATCTGACTGCACTGCCTGTAAACCCCAAACTGTCCTCTCTCTGAGTGCTCCATGACCTTCGTTCTTGTTGCTCGTGTTGAGCTTCCCAAGCATCCCGTCCGGCAAAAAACGGGTCTTACCTTGAAAGGGCTTCGGGTAGCGTCCCAGCTGTGACTAAGTTCACTGAGGGGGCATGCATGTTGAAGAGTCCGGATGTTAGACACCTGGCCTGCACGATTACAGAAAGACAAAGTGTTACTCTGCAGGCCTGTGCTCCCGAAAGCTTGCTCTCAAAACCCTTCAACCCGAACACGGATCTGGGCCCGCGGCCCAGCCGTGCAGCTCCACTGAATCAAGAGAACTGGGCGCCACCGCCGCCGAGCGCAGAGCCTTTTGGCATCGACGGGCTTTTCCGGAGGGCAAAGAAAGCCTTGTGGCTTGCATTTGTAAGTTGGAACCGACATTCACGTCATGACGTCCAGAGATGTTGACTGTTGACGACGATGACAACACGGATGAGGCTGAGGACACTCATCATTCGTGATGATGCTGTTGCGGGTCGTGGTGGTGGCGGTGATGTTGATGTTGATGTTGATGCTGGTGATGTTGATAATGTCGATGATGATGATGATGATGATGATGATGATGGGGTGAGGGTGATGGTGCTGGTGTTGCTGTTGCTGATGCTGATACTGATGCTGATGATGATGATGATGATGGTGATGATGATGATGATGATGATAGTGGGGTGAGGGTGCTGGTGCTGGCGTTGCTGTTGCTGATGATGATGCTGATGCTGATGTTGATGATGATGATGGTGGGTGATGGTGAAGAAGATGAAGATGATATGATGATGATGATGATGATGATGATGGTTATTATTATTATGATGATGATGGTGATGATGATGGTGATGATGATGATGATGATGATGACGATGACGCTGACGATGACGATCATGATGATGATGATGATGGCATCATGATGACGGAGGAGGAGGCGGAGGAGGAGAAAGAGGATGTGGAGAGGAGGTGGAGGATGAGATGAGGAGGAGGAGATAAGATGAGACCGGACGAGACTAGACGAGATGAGGATGAAGGAGATAGAGGTGGATGATGACTGGGATGACGATGATGATGAACTTGATGATGAGGATAATGAAGATGACCAGGATGCTGAGGGTAAGAACGAGGAAGGCCGAGATGAGGATAAGGCCGAGGGTGATGAGGACGAGATCGAGAAGGACGAGAATGGGAATGAGCACGACGACGGTGAGGACGCTGCGAAAATGTCGTTTATCTACCTGTGCATATGTGCGAGTGACATGTCTGCAGAACTCCGACGTAAAAGAATGATGCCTGCACACTGTCGCGCGACCCATCCAGCGATTTACCGTCTTAATCACTCTCTTTGCCGGTTCCATGCTTTATGACGTTTCGACCGTCTGCCTGGCTGTTTCACGGGAGTGTCACTCGGAACTTGGTGATTTTCGGGGCTCATGGGCTCTGCTGGATGTTTCATTGAACCAAATCCCCCATTGCGATGGTTCTCACCAAACATCTGGAACGGCACCCGATAGAACAAGGACGCCTTCCGAGTCGAGGCTGTTGAGGTAAAAAGCCCGCAAGCTACAAAAATACTTGACCGCAAACCGAGACATGCTGAGCACGAAGCTTCACAAAGCAGCTCTTGCTCTCCAGGGCAGCTTGGTGCCGTCAAGCTGGCGGAATCAGACACTGGGCTACATGTGATCACCACGCTGCATTGTCGCCTTTCTGGCCTAGTACGGATGGTTGTAGCATGACGTGAAGCGAAGACTGTCCTTTTTCGTGCTTCTCTGAGCTGTAGAGGCATCCATTCCCCAATCCCAGACCCGTGTCGTAGGGAGGCTTCTTGGGATTTCCGGGCTGCCTGGTTACAAGCCCCAGCTGTCCGGTGGCCTTGCAGCGCGTCCCACGTGCTGCATTGCCGTGCCCTCCAGGAAACCCTGCGGCACTGGCATGGATCACGAAAGTTGAGATGTGATTCGTACATGGGTGCTGCTCGATCTTCAAGGCAGTGATATGCATCCCCAGGCTTAGGAAGGCCGCTGCAGTTGCCTGTGCTGTTTGGGTTGCGAAGCTAATCTTGCCCAGCATAGCCTCCTGCTCTTCATCTGCTTTCCTGCATGCAGTGCAGCTGGACACACTACGTAGAACAGCAACCGCCGCAGGAACGAACTGGTTCTGCAAGAGGTTTTGGAGACGGAATGAAAACGGAGGAGCCCTCGTCAGAAAATGGTCTATCAGCAGAGATCCATCAGAATTGCGCAGTCACACCAGAAAGACTGTGTCATGCGCCAAGCAACACTCTGTTGTCTTTCGCAGTGCGTGTCCGATGGTGGGGTGAGCGGACTAAGCTGCAAGCCCTACATCGGCCCGACACCGGTAATTACTCCTCGAACCCTTCATCCAACACCGACGCTCGAAACCCCAGACCCGAAACACAAAACAAAACTTGCATGCCAATTCATAGCGGCAAGCCCTCGGTTTGCCACCGTCCTCCAGAGAACAGCCGCTGCAGTGCCCTCGCCGGGCACGGTTCCGCTTGCTGTTGCGTCAAAGACGCGGCAGCGCCTGAGTGTAGCTGAGTTTCTTGCTGCAGGTTCCTTTACGCGGGCCTGTGGGATTCATTGAGAATTCAGGGCTTGGGGTTCAAGGAGTTGGCTCCTGGGATGTGGCGGTTCTGAGACTTGCCGCTCAAGCAGCCGTCTGAAATCCAGGTGTGCTGTAATGTCAATACTTGGAGGCTCATGGGACTTAGTAAGTATGGTTACAAGTACCTTAATTGGGGTTATAAGTAGATATAAGTATAGTTGTCCTAACAGCAACCTTAGTTACTCAGTCCCATGATCCTCCAAGTAGTCAACTCTTTGGCACAGGCACGAAGACAAGCATGGTCTTCTCTCGGAGTGCAAACCGAACATGCAGGAGTCGATTGCGGCATGCATCTGAGCGTGCTGTGCTGAGCTATGAGAAACCGGGCGGGTCCTGGGTGCTGCGCCCTGTTGTACCCAAGAGTCCTGCAGCCTGGCCAGCCCGGAGTCCCGAGGCCAAGATACTATGGAAGTTCTAGCTTCTTGCCAAGCAATAACCTGTCAGGGACTTGACGTTGCCCTGAGTTCCTTCGACTGCTACATGCTGTTGTGGTATGTAGCTCGATTACTTTCCGCTGGTTCACAAAATTGGTCATGCCACTCCATGCGATCTACATGCCAGAACCGCATCAAGGCAGCATGACGAAGCTGAACAAAAAAACGAGCGGCGAGCGGCTTCTCCCTAAACTAAAAAGCCGAGCAGTCAGCATCAAAGAACAGAAGCTCTACACTGTTACGCTGAATGCACGGCTTAACCGTTTCTGCTCAAACACCCCTCAAGCAGTCCGTCCATGCACTTTCTAAAGGCCGGCGAAAAGACAACCTGCCTGGCGAGGAGGCCAGCTGCGTGGTGAGAGCAGCACCGAGACGCCCACCGCACAGGAGAACTGATGGGGCTCGGAGGCTCAGGGGGTTCAGGCAGGCGCTTACAAAAGAGAGGTTTGGGTATGCAAGCACAGCGCCGGAAACAAGCGGACAAGTTACAGCAAGATGATCGACTCTTTGGGAAGGGTATGGAGACCTCGAGGCCCAGCTTGACATTCTACTTGTAGCCGGCTCAGTTTTTAGCTCGCGGTGCTGTCGCTGAGTTGGCCCTTCCACTCCGGAGGCGGGTTCGGCAAGGCGATTTGCTGCTAGTGGTGCATGCTTCGGTCGAGAAGCAGTTCTTGAGGCCGTTGGAGCGGATTGCAAGAAGTTGGCAACTGCACGACGCTTTGAGCGACCAGCATCGAGGCATCGAAGAGGTTGTCTAGGTCTAGGTCTAGATACGATCGCCACCACCAGCCTCTTGATCTTTGCGGGCACACTGCTCGCTACGCAGCCATACCGGACATGAAGAAGGTCGTCATGGCCTCAAGCTCCCTCCGCTGCAGCTCCACATGGAGTGCCTCGTCCCCTTTTCTGCGCTGGAGGACGGAAAGCTCCCGAAAGTCGCTACGCGCAAGAGAGAGGTCTTTGCGCAATGGGCCATTGCACAGCGAGCCGTTTTGCAGGCGCAGCTGTGCACAAACATGTGCACCCTGGACGCCAGGCACCTTTCCCAGTACGAGTCCCTCAGGAAGGACCTTCACTCCAAATGCTTTCTGCAGCACGCGCGCTCGCTGCACGCAGAGGCGCTGCAGCATGTTCTGGACTTCCTGGTGCAAGAACTTCAGCTTGCGAGCCCTGGCAGCTGCTTTGCGCTGCTGTCTTGCTTCGGCTCTCGCTTCCCTCTCCCGCCGCCTTGCCTCTCTCAAGAGCTTCCTCTCCTCGGCCGTCTGCAGTTTCTCCTGCCTTCTCTCCTGGCGCTCCCGATGTCGCTGTGCCGCTTCTTTTCGCTTCCGTGCTTCCTCCTCCTGTTTTTCTGCCTGCCGAGCTGCCTGCATCTGGCTGTGTCTTTGTTGCCGCTCCTCCTGGAGTTTCGCCTTGTTGGCAAGCTCGGACTCCCAAATAGGGAATAGCTCTTCCAGGTCAAGCCTCCGATTGCTGTTGTTCGTTGTACATCTGCAGCAGAAGCGAATACGAATGGCAGAAGACTGGGAAGCCGCCCTGTTCGAGTGCATCTCAGTCACTGCATCGCTGAGAGCCTCTCTGCAGCTACGCCCTGCTGCAAGGTGCTCGTAAAATCGCTGTCGCATTCGAACCAGGCTGATATGCAGATCAATAATCTTGTTTAGGTCAACGGTGCTTTGCGAGTATGCCCCGACTCCCTTGAAATACACGCTCGCTTGGTAGGAGCTGTCTCGCTTGTTCCTGCAGATTCCCCGAAGGAGTTTCCTCTCGCCGCTTTGATCGCAATTCCTTGCCTCTCCTTCGTTCACTTCGTTCGCTTCTTCATCGGCGTCAGCCGCACAGATGGCCAAGAGAGGCTCGGCCGGCTCGGCCTCAGAAAGCTCCTCACTCTCTGAGCTGCTGCACGCGCTGCCACTGCCCGCGCTGCCCGCGCTGCCTGCGCTGCCCGCACTGCAGCTCGGACCGACCGTCGCCAGCGCGCTCTGGTCACAGGACTCGAGGAATTCCAGAAGGCGTCGTAGGACCTCCTCAGTCATGGCCTGGAGGCGGGCACGGAGTGCCACCTGGCTCAGTTTGAGCAGCTCCTGCACCCAAGCCACATTGTCCTTGCACTCTTCCGGTGGCTCAGCTCCCGCGCTAGGGCCGCCAGGGGTGCTGCGAGTCGCATGACCGTCCTCGCGCTTGGCTTTCTTCGGCGCCCTTTTGCTGGTCTCTCCGGAAGTTCTTGTTCTCTTCGCCGCTGGGCCTGCTGGGCCTGTGGCTACCCGGCGCTCCTTCGGAACGGCTCTTGCGTGCCTCAGCTGGAGGTCGTAAGCTGCGCGGCGCACGGGATCTGTAAGAGTCTCGAAGGCTGTAACGACGAGCCTGAAGGCTTCCGGCGTGCCTCCCTTATCTGGGTGGGTGGCAAGCGCCTGCCGCCTGTAAGCAGAGCGCAGCTCCGCTTCTGCCGCAGAGCTGCTTACGTTCAAGGCGTCATAGAACGACGGCATGGGCAAGATGCCATGAAGGCCCAGCCGACATCAGGCTAACTGGACAGTGCTAGGACATGCTTGGACTTCGGGCTGAGAGGCTTTTTGTTGGGAGAGAAACCGTGTTTGCGGGTGCGGTAGGAAGTCGCAGCACAAGTTGCTACAAAACCCGGAGCTTCGGACCTTTCTGCCCCCGCACCCTCGTTGAAGCTTCAGCCGGGCGAAGCAGATCTGCACAGACTGCTGGGACCCCTAAACCCTAAAACCCTAAA